ATAAAAAAACACGAGTCACAATGCAATTTAGAGAAGTTTCGCCACGTCAAACATCCGATTAGTAGGCCCAGCGAATCAGGGCGCACCGCGTGGCAGCGGATGCTGATGCGGTGCCATGCGGGCGATCCACATGCCCGCGATCGAACAGCCCAGATCTGTTCCCGCACGCATGGACGGCTCAGATGCGTTCCCTCCCCAAATGTGATTGGACGGTCAGATTTAAACGCGATCAGACAGTCTAGATTGGATCACGATGAACGGCCCATATTCACTCTATATTTAATCGTAATCTAAAGGTTCAGATCAAACACGATGGACGGCTCAGATCAAAAGCGGACGAATATAAATAACCCCCATCCACACCAAATCCTAACTCTAGTCGCCAGACCCCCTCGTCGGAGAAGAAGACCCGGTCGACTGAAGGACACCGCCACCACCCGCCGCTGCACCAAAGCTTTTTCCGACACCAAAAAAGGTAAACAATTTTCGCTTTTGCTCGAAATTCAATTTTAAGCACACTCATGGCCAAATCAGAGCAAAAAGATCGGTCAATTTGCCGGAAAAGCCGGCGAAGCTCGACGCCATCGCCGCGAGGAATTTTACAAAACGCCTCCGATGAGGCCCTTTCCGATTCCCGTTCTGTGTAATTTTTTCACTATTGTTATCACCGTGTCCTTCTCTACAGGTTGACCGGAACCAAAAACCCAACTGCAATGTGAGTCAGATGAGCCGCCGCCCGGAGAGCCTTCTTGTCGGTGAGTTTCGTTTTTTGTGTTTTTTCGGTCAACCAATGCCTTATAATGTGTTTTCTTGCAGGGATCGATGCAGAATCGGGCGAAAACAACCAACCTGAGGCGGACTGCCGACGTGGGCGGCGGTGCTATTGCCGGAGCACGGCGGAGCCGCCGTGCCGGAATTTCGAAATTAGCTAAGTGGGCTCCGGGACTGATTTTGGGTTTGTTTGGGACATTTGTAGACATTATTAGCTCGTTTTAATTCCTGAAGAAAAATTCAGGGAATCCGAGAATCGCCCGTAGGCGTGGTCGAACAGCTTAGCTTTTTGGGCATCAAATCGAGTAAGAACCTCTCACCCTATTTCCTATCATAGAATTGAAATCTAAATAAATAATAATACGATATTTTGTGTAAATTTAAGAAATATGCATAATTAATTACGGATTGCCAATAGAGTCAGAACCAAAAATTATCTACTGTTGTTATTGATTGTTTTTACAGTTTATATACATGATGGTATCTTATTAATTGATTTTATGGTTTTAAATGCATATATGGTTTATTCTATGTGTTTACTGGTGAATCAGAAAAAAATGAAGGTTAAACAGTAAAAATTGTGTGATGAAATGAGTAGATGAAACAACAGGCTTACTAGATATTCTAGAAGATTGTGAACAGATCGGGTATATAGGGAACTCTACTGTGAACGTTATCTCATACCGAACGGGGTATGGAGACGGCCCGCTTCACCCTCATACCGAACGGAGTATTGAAGTTCGGTAAATTGGCGCTCATACCGGACGGAGGATGGAGACGGCCCGTAATTGAGAATGTTAAATGAAATGGTTCATGTATAGCGCGGACATCCCTATAAACTCCCATGGATACTAACAGGCTGGTAAAAAGAGTTACAGTTATTGTTTGATTCATTGATGATTGATATAGATCTATAATATGTGTTATGATTGCTGATTATACATAGAATCATGATCTGTATAATTTTATTGTCTATATAAATTATTTTTATGAATCCTACTATAGTAAGTGAACGGTAAATGATTTTATTTTTAATAAATGTATTGATTTAAATTTAGTGCTCCATTAGTGTTTTTGATTTTCTACCAATCTTTATTTTTGTGCCGGTGACACAGTGTGATGTCTTTACTGGGCAAGTATAACTCATCCCTTATTTAACCATTTCAGATAAAGAGGAACAGGTTTCAGAGCGCGATCCACAAGATGATTGTGAGTAGATGTTAGATTTCTTTATTTTCCGTTTATTTCCTTATTCTTATGTTTCTTTCAAAATGATGAATTTTGTAATGTTTTTTGTTACTTTTAAGTTATTTGTGTAAGGAATGTAAATCTTGAACATTTATTACGCTTCTGCACTTTAATTATTTTTTATTTTCTTTAGATATTTACGGGATCATTACATAAATCACCAAAATAATGACCACTACACTAGAAAATTACACTTACTCCTGATATCAATCATAAATAGGTATAGAGTATCAATGTAGGAAAGAACTGCAAACAAACACGCTTTGTACAACCCTTCAGAAACTTTTAAATAACACCACCCCCTTCAAAAAAACTTGGAACTTTGGAAAATTTGCTTCAATAAAAAATGGGGGAACTGACCTCAGTCAACCACCTTTTTCTTTCCCTCTCTCATCGCCTCTCCTAGCTCTTGCTTGCATTCTTTCTCTCCTCTTCTGCCTTTCCAGTCTGCACCAAGATTTAGTTCATCTAAACTTAATCAGAGTTGCAATTTACTTTTCTTTCTTATAGAAAAACAAAAAAGTCAATGTTTTAACAGAATATAATTATTTTCTATAAAATTGTTTAAATAGCATTCACTCAGTTAATTTTATTTCTCATTTAAAGAGATAAAGATAGTGATGAATTCTAATGTTAATGAATAATACTAAATAAAATATAAACACATTTTATTTTCTATTTTTTCAAAAAAAAAAGAAAATATGAACACATTTTATCTTCAAGGTTTAGATTCTTTTTCTTTTTAAGAACTATGAAGTTCACAATTTAACTGCATAAAAACCACATCCTCCCATTGGGTTTGCCAAACCATGTTCAAGCAGCTTAAAATAACCGGTGAAGAAGCTCCATCTCCATCTCAAATTCTTAAACATCAATCCTCAACCTTCCTGTACTTCTGACTCATGTCTCATTCTTCAGAAACTCCATGTCCATCTCAAATTCTTAAACATCAATCCTCAACCTTCCTGTACTTCTGACTCATGTCTCATTCTTCAGAAACTCCATCTCTATCTCAAATTCTTAAACATCAATCCTCAACCTTCCTGTACTTCTGACTCATGTCTCATTCTTCTTTCTCCGTGCACTCCATGACCTGCTCTATATTATTAAATGTGTGTACTGAAAAGTACATCCTAAGTGCTGTCTGTTCCACATCCCCCTCCCTCAAGAGACAAGAATGCTGGGGTGGACTTTGTTTTGACTATAAGTAATTTTATGTCTCCTTGGCTTTTCCCTTGATGTACTCTGTTAACCTGTTGGCACTCCATATAGCTTTTTCATATGAACTTCTATGCTTGATATGTTCTCTTCGATTTTTAGAAGTCTTTTAATTATATCAAAAATTGCTGCAGCTTTCCATAACGTAGATCTTCTCCTTGCATGTGATACATCTATGTCTTCACTATATGTGTTGGGCAACTTGTTTGAATGAGGGACAGATGACATCATATGACATAATTTCTGTGCCATGGCAGTCATTCCTTTTTCCCTTAACTCATCTTTCATTGTATGAAAAGTAAGATACTGAGGAACTATGCCCTTTACTGAGGAACTATACCCCTTCTTATCATGTCTTTAAACTCTGAGAAAGTCTCTTCAAATCTATTCATTTTGCGAAGTAAATGAATCAACATGATGCTAGTGGCCACCAACCAAGTCCATATTATATTCCCTAGCTTCCATTTCCTTGCTGACTTGCACAGCCAAGTTCAATCTCTCATCTTGGCACAATGTCTCCAACAGGAGATGATAAGTAGGCCTACTTATACTGTACCCAGCTTCAAGCAACTTTGTACATAGGTTCATCCCCTCCTCGGTTTTCCTAAATTGGGAATAAATGAAGATTTAATTCACAATGAATATTCTTCTTTTGAGTAAGCAATGATAGGCATTTATTGATTAATATAACTCAAGTGTTAAGAAAAGAACAAGATGCATACAAAAACAAGGTTCGGAATATTAAAACAATGGTGCTGGTTCCGTTTGAACATATGAACAGATTCGTTCCTTAAATAACATATATAAACATATGTTCATATGGTAGTATGATTTACAGAAAGATTAGATAGAAAATGTTCAATTCATGGATTGCACATAGGACAGACAAAAGAGTACCATCTTCTTTAACCTGGGACATCCAAGTAGGGAATCAAACTACAAATTTCAGTATACAACTTTGATTTGTTCTGATTGCATTTGAAGTGACATCTTGGGATAAAAACCTCTAAAAGATACTTTGAGATATAATTGTTTTATGGTTTTACTCCGTAGCCTAAAAGAAAAAATAATAATGAATCAAAAAATTGAAATTACTTTTACCTGAAATAAGAGCAGCACCAATCCAGTCAGTGGAACCCCACCTCTCACCAAGAAGAAACCATGCAAAACAAGCACCCCAAACAAGCTCCAAGGTGTAAATGATTGCAATTTCCGTGGCCAATACATCACACATTGCAGCCAATTGCTTAAATGAATTAATATTACTTAAAGAAAATAAAATTTATGAAGAAGATAATAAATGAGTTAATTTACATTATAGAAACATCTGTTCAAAGAATCAACTTTCTGAACTATGATTGTAACAAAATAATATTTCTTAAGAAAAGATTTAAGGAGATTCCAGTTATGGTCCAACATTAATAAATAACAACAATTTACCATCCCCAGCAGCCTTATTGGTAGCAGTAGCAACATGCTTCACAAGATCTGCTCCAACATTTTTGGCTTTCTCCTTAAATTTGATGCTCTTGGCGACATTAACGCCATCCTTTGTTATCTTGAGATCTAGTTCAGTTTTCTCGATAATCACATTTCGTCCCTGGAGCAATAAACGATAAAAAGAATACAATGAAGAAATTGAAAAGAATCAAGAAATTTCTGTATTCATGTGAAAGTCATTTCATGGTTGCTAAGCAAAAAATAACTGCTCACTCTGCCCACACTATCAGCCTCCACTCTTCCTCATCAATGTTCTTTTCAAAAGACCATTCACCACTCCTGAAGCCTTCCCTCTCCATTACACCACACAATTCTTGAAGGATCCCATGAACTTCCTCTAACCCTGTTTGCCCAGCTGAAAACACATAAACATTCTTTTTCACTTGTATCCAGCTGTGCCTACCCACTTTCTTTAAACCTTTCATCTTCACTAAGCTTCTAACCCTTACAGAATCTTCCCACCTCCCACTTGCAGCATAAATATTAGAGAGTAAAATATGGCTCCCGCTCTGTAAACAAAACTTCTACATTTGTAACATCTCCATACTTGTCATACAAACATATAAGCGTGTTCTTGACAAACAAATAGTCCTCCAATCCACCCTTTCTAACATATCCATGAACCATTCTGCCCCCCTGTCCAACGCTGCTAAATTGTCAACAGTCAGACAATAAAACGGGGAGAACTTCAGCACTGGCCCTAATACCTCTCATCTTCGTCATATCAAACAACTCAATAACACATCCAGACTGCCCGCATCTGGAATGTCCAGACAAAAGTGAGATCCAAGTTACTCGGTTTGGCTCCAAAGCTTCCAACTCCCCCCGCTTAAACATCTTAAAGGCACCATGACAGTCAAGATTCAGAGAAAACCCCGAAATCATCTGTGTTCCATGAAATATAGCTTATGACGCTCTTTCTATCAAACTGATAGAGTGCATCATTCATGTAATATCCGGACCCGAAAAGTCTATTGGGATAAATTTTTTTTACGAAATTATTTAATTTAAATAATTAATTTATTTATTTTTATTTTATTTTATTAAATTTTTAAAAATAAAAATAAATAGAAAATGATATTGAAAATAATTTTTAAAAAAAATTAGTAAAAATTTAAAATTATGGAGTATTTTTTATAAAAAAAATTAGAAACAGTGGGTCAAAATGTAAAAAAAAATAAAATTCGGTCATGTGGGACGGTCTGGTAAGCAGTTCCGAAGAAATAGAGCACGTCACGTGTCAAAACACGCTGATGTCAACGCCCAGATTCGCTCCCACGTGCGTGAACGGCTTAGATTCATTCTCTTTTTAGGCGCAATCGGACAAACGAGATCAATCACAATGAACGACTCAGATTCATTTCCTTCTTAGGTGCGATTGAACGGACGAGATTAATCGCGATAAACAGTACAGATTGACGGGGAATGAGTATAAATATCTCGCGTCGCAAGAGAACCCAAACCCTACCCGTCAGCCCCTGCCAGAGAAGAAGAACCAAACGTCAGAGAAGAAGGCCAATCGCCGACCGCTGCCGCACCGGAGCCACTGTCGACTGCCAAAAAAGGTAAAAAAAGAATTTTACCTGCTCGGAATTCGATTCCGAGCATTCCTGTGGCCATATCAGAATAAGAGGGACGGTGGATGAGCTGAAAATCACGGGTAAAGTCCGATGAAGCCACTACGGCCAAAACCAAAAAATCTCTCTAATGAGCCCCTTCCTGCTTCCCGTTTCATGTGATTTGTCTATCACTGTGTTCACCATCCTTTTTTGTGCAGGTTAGTCGAAGAAAGAGCCTCAATTGTGAAGGAGAACCAATGGAGTTGCATTACCTGGAGACTCCCCTCCTTGGTCGGTAGCTTTAGTTTTTTGTGATTTTTCGGCCAACCAATACCCCCTAACGTATTTTTCTGCAGGGATACGTGTAAAACTGGTCAAGCCGAGGCGAATTGCCTCAATGGGTAGCGGAGCCGACGACGGAGCACGGTGACGCCGCCGTGCCAGAACCCCAAAATTGGCCGAAAAGAATTTTGGACAATTATTTTGAATTTTTATAGTATTTTTAGGTACGTGACGAATGGTTTGGATTCTACATAAAAAATTTCAGAGAATTCGGTACCCGTTAGGAAGCGTAATAGACAGTACAACATCTCGAAACACCGATACGGGTAAGGATCTCTCACTCTATTCTCCGTTATGGTAAATTAAGACTTAATGATGTATAATTTTGTATTTTTATAAAAAAGTAGAAAACTCTAAAAATAATTAAGGTCACTAGTGGATGCGGAACCAATTAGTTCACAATTGTCCTAATTTTCTATTTATTTTGTCATACTATCCTACTTGATTGTTATCGTATTATGCATGTTTTTAATTTATAGTTTTAATGGTCTTATCAATTTATCTGGTTTATTCGATTATTTGGTTACTCAATCCCTTGTTATGATAAACTATATCGTCTGCATAAATATCGTCTAATTGATCTGTAAATATAATATAAGATATTGGTATGCATTTATTGGTGGTTTTTCTTTTTGAGAATCTTTATGTGAAAGACTTACTGGGTACCCAGGGAAAGAGCGGACGAGTCTGATACATAGGAAACCCTACCATGAACGTCACCTCAGTCGAACGGGGTTGGAAAGTCCTATACCGAAAAGGTTTGGAAGATATGGTTCACTTTTATACTGGACAAGGTATCGAGACGATGGAATATTTGGCGCTCATTATTGGAAAGGATATGAGGACGGCCGGTTAATTATTAAAATTGGATATTGGGTTCACGAGTAGGGGGGCATCCCTATGGACCCCCAAGGACATTAGTAAGCAAGTAAGAAAGAAAAATTATCGTCTATTGTTCTCTTATCTGTGAAAATGAAAAGTGGTATGGATATGGGTTTTTATAGGTTTTTTTTTTTTAGAAAACTCATAATGGTAAGTATCAAACAAACATTTTTAAGTTAAATGTATTTAATTAAAGTAAGGATTTCATTAGTTGTTTTCTTAATTTTTATCAATCTTCAGTTTTCTGTATTTGTGATTAGTGTGATATTTTTACTGGGTTAGTATAACTCACCCTCTCATCAACTGTTTTAAATCAAGAAAACCAAGATCTAAATTCCGATCAACAAAAGGGTTGTGAGTAATTTACCACCCGGACTCCCTTCAAGTGCTAGTAAAAATTATCCTAAAATACTTATTTATTCGTTTTTCTTTAATTACTGTTTGTTTTTTAGAAAAAATATTCTTATATCCCTATTAAATATTCTAAATTATTGTGTGAGGAATGTAAACTCTAACTTTATTATTTGTTTCCGCATTTAAATTATAAATTTATTTTCTTTAAAGTTTCAGGTCTTTACAATCTATATGACTGAGCTTCTTATAAATGCCCTGCAATTCATTCGTAACATGTAGATGATGTTGAAACTCCATCTGCAAAATATGACTGTGAACGATCTTATCTGAACTCTAACTAGCCAGAAAACTGTTTGCCCTTATAACCAGCAGAAATATAAAGTCATCGGCCAAAACTCCTAATCTTTGCATTTTTAACATAAAGTTGGAGGGCATTTCATAATACCCATGAGAGACATTAGCTCTCAAAATTGAATTCAACAAAAACAAATTCAATAAACACCCAAACGGTGATGTATCAAATCCGCTTTGTCCATCAACAACAAGCCCAAACCGAGCATAAACTGATATGACACACACTGCCAAAAACGCAGAATTGTACGTACCAGAGAGAATGACATGTCTGTTAATTTGTCTGCAGAATCGAACTGCGTAGCATTGTTGAATAAGGTTATCGAACAAAAAGAATAGCTCATTGTGAGGGAGAAAGGACCAATATGATTTGCTAATCTGGGTCCGGTGGTTTTTGATTAATATAGTTGGACGTTGGAGATGAAGATATAAAGAGTTGGATAAAAGACCAAGAGATGAAGGAGCACGAAGCATCAAGAAGATGATTCGCAAAGCCGTTGGGTTGGAGGCACTAAGCGGAGTATCGATTTTTAAAATTTAAATATGATTTACTAATTTGGGTTCGATGGTATTGATTAATATATAGATTGGACGTTGGAGATGAAGATACAAAGAGTTGGATAAAGAACGAAAAGATAAAGGAGCACAAAGCATCAAGAAGATGATTCGCAGAGCCGTTAGGTTGGAGACACTGATGAATTTTTAAATTTTAAATAATTTGAAATTTTTGAACCTGACATTAATTTAAAACGTGAAATAATATCAAAATTTATCTAATCTTCTCTTTCATTCTTTTCTTATTTTTATCTGATCGTGTCTCTTAAATAATTTATTACATGTTAAAAATTATAAACTCAAAATATAAATTTGTATTTAGAGAACAATAGTAGATATTTTTTTTTATCGGAATAGTCAAACACGTTAATAATCAAATGTAATTTATTTTTATAAATAAAATAAAATTTAAATCTAAATAGAGCATATAATTATTATTATTTTATTGTTCCTAAGAAAAAAAATTAAATTCATATATTGAGGCAGACTGAACTCCAACTTGATTGAGACTTGAGTCAGATTAGGCCCAACGAGTCTCATGAACTAGCTCGGCTTGACTAGTAATGGCTAGCCTCCCCAGTGGTCATTTCAATCAATTTGCAAATGGTTCAGACTTTTTTAACTCACAATTGCATCAGTTAGTGTTGTCCCTAAATTTCATTTTTAGGCCTCTAAAGATTTCAGGCATAAGTTAATTTTTACTCTCTCTTTCTACAGAAAAATGGGTTATATTTTTTAATAAAACTATGCCAACCGTTTATTTTCAAAAAAAAAAAAAATCATACAAAAATTTTACCAACTTGATTTTTATTATTAGAAAATTATTATATTAATGTCACAATTTGACACAGTTTAATTTTTTTTATTATTATTATTATTCACAACTAAATGCTGACATTTTATTGAGACTTTCATATTTTTTATTTATTTTAAAGCACATAAAAATAATGAAAAATGATTTTAACTAAATAATTAATAATAAGAAATAAATATAATATTTTTATTAATTTAATTATATAATATTTTTTGTTAATTTAAAATTATTTAATAAAAATAATTTTAAAAATATTTAAAATTAATAAATTTAAAATTTTTCTGTTGAAAAATTAGATGAAAACTTATTTCTTAACATTGTTTACAAATTATAACAAAGTTAACAAAAATAATTAAATAACTTTCTACGTTTATAGTGAGTGCATATAGCAAAATTTAAAAAACCATTCTTAACATCTAAGAGAACAACACTCCTGCCAAAAAGAAAAAAAAAAACCCATTCAAAAATCGAATTTATGTTCAAGTCCAACATCAACAATGAAAGCAAAGCAGAAAATTAGAGCAACATAAATATGAAATCCGAAACTCATTATTAAAAATTTAGACATAGTTTTACATTTCACCCAATTTAAATAAAAGATGCCAAAAATGGCTTGTTCCGTCTCTAGCAGACAACACATATAACCGCATAGCTCTGTTATTTCCTTATAGAAAAGGACTCTACTAGAACTAGACACTAAACTAAATTGCAAACTAAAAGCCGAAGAAGAAAAAAACTTTCACAGCATCCGCTGCTTCAAAAACTTCTCGTTGAAAAGATGAAGCTTCTCATTGGACAGAGGCAATGTACCGGATCAAGTCGACAACACGAGAGCTGAAACGAAGAAAGGAGTAGGGATCAAACAGTAGTTCTTCAAGTACCAAAACAGTAGTAGTTTTGAAGGGGGTGTAGAATAATATGTTTACCTGTAACCCCATTCGTTGTCGTACCAAGAAACGAGCTTCAGGAAGTTATCATTCAAAGCAATTCCAGCCTTGGCGTCAAAAATGCTTGACCTGCGAAAACAAATTTCATGTGAAAATTTAATTTTAGTCGCATTTGTTTTCATTGATCAAGATGTAAGAAGAGAAGAACAGAATTGGGAAATTGTAGAAGATGATTGGGATGTTATAATTAGCCTTTTACCTGCTGTCACCAACAAAGTCAGTTGAGACAACATCATCCTCAGTGTAACCGAGGATTCCCTTCAAGCTACCCTCAGAGGCCTCCCTAAATAGCAAATGAAACATATTCAGATAATACACCACAAACGAAATTTTATTCCCTCCATCAACTCGAATAGATATGTTTCAAAGAAATAGTGGGTTTATAATTCTAGTTCTTACTTGATAGCAGCTTTGACCTGGTCGTAAGTAGCCTTCTTCTCAAGTCTTACTGTAAGGTCCACCACTGAGACATCAACAGTGGGAACACGGAAAGCCATGCCAGTCAATTTTCCATTAAGTGCCGGTAAAACCTTGCCAACAGCCTAGAATTGAAGGAAAAGGGTTCATGTTAGCAGTTGTAACGGGTATAACAAAAGTAATTGCCATGGTTTTTCTCACTAGAACGGTGCCCACAATAGATTGTAACAATAGCAACAATAAGCCATCACGTGAAAGAACAGGCAAATCAATCTGATACCTTAGCAGCTCCAGTACTGCTCGGAATGATGTTGAAGGAAGCAGCCCTACCACCTCTCCAGTCCTTCATTGATGGACCATCGACAGTCTTTTGAGTGGCTGAAGGAAAAAAATATGTCAGACATTAGTCAAGCACAAGTGTAGCTGAAGGGAGGACAGAACAAGAAGATGCTTACCAGTAATGGCATGGACGGTTGTCATAAGACCCTCAGCAATACCAAAATTGTCGTTAATAACCTGTACAAAGACATATTTACAACAAAGCATGAGACTACAAATGTAAGTTAAGGCATCGGTCTAGAATTCATATGAGAAATACAGAGGAAGTATCACCTTAGCCAAAGGAGCAAGACAGTTGGTGGTGCAGCTAGCGTTTGATACAACATTAAGGTCTGGCTTGTATTCCTTCTCGTTGACACCAACCACAAACATGGGGGCATCCTTACTAGGTGCCGAAATGATGACCTTCTTTGCTCCACCCTGAAAAAAAACAAATGCCAATCTTAGAGAACTTAGAAACAGTCAGATAGAGGGCACAATTAATAACTAAAAAGGGTGCCATATCCAAACTTGGTACTGAAAAGGGTGTGACAGGTTTCTCATTACTGAAGCGACAAAATATTAACCCGAACCAAATTAAGATCGTTCATTATCCCAGTTTATTACGTTTGAACTCATAAAAAAGACTTCATGTAAACAGAGAAACCTCACAGGAATACAATGAGATCCAGTTATCACAAACCTTCAAGTGAGCAGCAGCTTTGTCCTTATCGGTGAAAACTCCAGTGGACTCCACAACAAAGTCAGCTCCGGCCTCACCCCATGGGATCTCCTCGGGGTTCCTAGTAATTGTCAAGATCAGTGAAGAAAATATTTTCAATCAAACATCAGATTCAGGATCCTATTAGAAAACAAATCAACATGGAGCACAAACGAAAATAAATAATACCTGATACCAAAAACAGTGACAGGCTTCTCACCGAAGAGAAGGGTCTTGGAATCCTTCACCTTGAGCTCATGGTGCTTCCATTGACCATGGACAGTGTCGTACTTAAACATGTAGGTCTGAACAAAATGACCGTAGTAACACCAGAGTCAGAAAAAGAAATCAAAATAATTTGAAAACACAGTTTGAAATCTAAACACAAGGCTATGAACAAACCATCATTGGAACACGAGAACGAAATCTATAATTATTTGTAACAAGGTGCTAATCATCTACCATACATAAAGTAGAAAGTGGATACAAGATTCACAGATCTCTATTTGTTTATCCAAACTGGATATGAAGAAACACGGAAAAGAATCTTAGATCGCAAACCAAATATTAGTTCTGTAATTTTTGTAAAATATAGTGTATCAAGAATTTTTGCAAAAAAACAAAACCCTATCCGGATCTGTATTAATCTGATATTATATACACAAAAAAGCCAACAGATGGCCAACAACTCAAGGATCACTCCAGATCTCGAGCAATTAGAACCATCTACGGGGGGTTGCAAATCTCAAGTGCATATTTAAATACAAACACACTGAATAAAAATCATAGCGACTATAATCTCTACTAGAAACTACGCAAACACATCAGTCCACCACCAATAAGACGATTGACGCACATGCATGAGATAATCGTTAAGATATCAGTAAGCGATTGTATTAACAGTATACCATGTAGTCAGTGGTGATGAAAGGATCGTTAACAGCGACGAGCTCGACATCGTTGCTCTGCAACGCCACTCTCGCGACCAAACGCCCGATCCTTCCAAATCCTGCATTTACACAACGAAGAAGCACAGATCAACGATAAGGTCAGAACTAAATCGCGGCGATAACGAAAAAAGAGAAAGTAAAAACAGAATACAAAACAGAAATGGAGATCGAATAGGCTCACCGTTGATGCCGATCTTGATCTTGGCCATAGTCACTGATGAGCAGATGAGTAGAATACAGAGATTTGATGAGAGAGAGAGAGAGTAAAGATGGAGTGATATGCGAACTAGTGGTGGTGTATATATATTGGGATTGAGGCGGAGTCGTCGAGGGGGAAAGGGCAAAGTGTGGGGACCACCTTCGGCGAGTGGTTTAAGAAGGAGAAAACGATGGGCTAATGGTAGCCGTTGATTTCGATGACTTTTGGGTTTTTGGTTTTTCTTCTTGTTGGGTGGGGTCACGTGATAGATCATATCTCATACTTGTGGTTTCACGGAATCAGCGGGTTTGAGAGTTGGAAATGGTAGAAAGTAGGTCTAGAATTTGGACAGTTAGTATTTTCCAGATTTTGAATTTGTTTTTAGGTAATTTACAGTTTTATCCCATTAATTTTGTTTATTACAATTCATACCCTTTTATTTTTTTCTAAATGATAAGTCAGTCCTCTAATTTAAATTTTTTTTTTCGAAAGTTTAAATTATCAAAATTTAACATGATATTTGATAAATTATCTTTTAAAATATTATTAAAGATTCGTATTGGTAATAATATATTTAAAAATATTACGAGGATTTATTTAATTGTATTTAAAGAAAACTTTTTTAAAAAAAAATTTTAAATATATTTAAACACATATTTATAAATTCATGATTTTTATTTATTGTTGGTTAAATAAATTTATAAAAATATTTTAATTTAAATATAAATCTTACAAGAAATCAATTATATAAAAAAATATAAATCTATAAAAATATAAGATTTTTACTTTTGAGAGAATTTTTAAAATTTAGCGAAGAAATGCTAGCGTGACATGGCGTTGGTGGGTAGGTGCGGTTATCTTGGATAAGTGGTGGGCCCCGGTGTCACGCAGAAAAATGGACGTGCTTGCTTGGGTCACGTACAGCGATAAGAGCACGCACCATGCCGCTCTTATTAAATCTGCTTGTATATATATATATTTTTTTCATATGATGTTTGTAATAATATTTTTAATTTGAATTTTAAATTATTTTTTAAAATTTTATTCGTAAATAATAAATAATAATATGAATTACTCGTCATTTTGACTTATAATATTAAACGGTAGTAAATTAATAAAATTATTTTTTATTATAATTTATTGTTGAAATTAGTCGTACTCTGAAATCAAACAAAAATATTTATTATTATTATAAAAGTTTTTGAAAAAAATAATTTAGTTATCGGAAATTTTTATTATAACAAAAAAATATGTGTTTGTAAAAAAATTAAAATTAAAATTTACACTTAATTTTTTAAGTGAAAATAATAATTTAATCTATGTGTTATTAATTTTTATTTAAATTTATTATTTTTTTTTAATTTTTAGTCCCTATAAATGATTATTTTTTATTTATTTATTTATTTATTTTTTACCAAATGTAATTCAGTGGGCAGTAAAGGTGATTGATACTGTGGGTGAAGTGAAAAAGTTACTTTTACTAATTACTATGTTCTTGGTTCCATTATGAGAAGTTTTCGGGTATGGGATCCACGGGCGGGGGACGCGGATTGATTAAACCACCGGCGGGTGATAAAACAGTTAAAACGGCGGGATTTCAGTGACATTTGGAAGGATCTAGAAGGATTTTGTCAAGCTATATTTACCTTGAAAAGATTACTAAAGAAAATAATTTTTTTTTAAAAATAAATAAATGTTTGGGAAGCATAATTAGAAAGTTCTAATGGGTGATCCACATGTTCTTTACCAAAAAAAAAAAAAAGAATATATTTCTTTAGAATTTATTCTATTATTATTTAATTTATGGATTTTAATTATTTAATATTCAAAGAATAATTATAATTTTTATATATTTATATAATCAAATCAATTTTATTTATATATTTAGTTTGACAATAATAAATTCATATTTATTTGTTGGTAAATAAATTATATAATATTTAATTTGAATTAAATATGAAGTTGACTTGCTATTATTATTTAAATTTTTATTATGTTTATAATGTATTTTAGGAAGTGAAAAAAAAAAAAAAGGAATTGAATATTGCAGTCTAAAGAAAAGTTTGACATTGATATAGCTCCATAATCTTGCTGCTTAAATGAATTGATTTTGTACCGAGT